ATTTCTCTGCCTTAGGAAATTTGAAATATAAGCCAACTACAAGATTCATTGTGAAGAATTATTTGGTAATTTCTCCAGTGGTTTTTAAATTAATCAAAAGGGACCAATTAGGCATTGCCACCAAGGACATTCATATGTATCAATTTGCTTAGAACCCCATTATCACAATTACAAAAATCATAATTGATATAGTATAAATTTAGCAAAATGTAATGTGCATTATTTCTATGATCAGTTTCAAAGACTTCCTGAAATAATTTAAAAACAATCCAACTAATCTATCAGAGTATCAGAAGCGCTTCATCTAAATATTGGAGAATATTAGATGGAATGCTATCGCTCTTAAATGAGGTAGGGGAGGTACTGCTTTTTAACTATGGTTAACTATGGTTAGTCTTCTTGTTTTCATAACCTCCTGATTGGATTATTGCAATGTATCCTATATAGGATTATACTTGAAGGCAATACTATTGCCATAATTGGTGCAGAATAGGTACTACCCTCTGAAACAGAAATAGGAATGTATAGTTGGGTTCAGAAAACCCAACTGAATCACTTGTTTGTACTATGAAAATTTTACCTTATTGATAATGATGTATAAACACTGCATGGACAATACATAAATTATCAACTGCTCCAAGGCTATGCCACCATTCATTCAAGTCAGCTGGGGAGGCCTTATGGTTGATTAAGTTCATAGTAGAGCAAGTATGACAAAGATTTTCTCAACAAGGCCCTGATTACAGACTTCTCTCAAGGAGAAATAGAAATGTAGTGTCTGCATTAATTGCTTTAAAATAGCAGCTGAAGAAAATACCTGCATTCAACAGCAATGTAAAGGATAAAACAACTAATACAAACCTTTTTTAACATAGGTTTTTAGATTGCTTTTCTTTTAAAAAAATAACTTTGATCGTACTGTTTTATTTATTGTTGATCGTTAATTTTAATTAAGATTGCATTTACTCATTGTAAACTACTCTGAGGTCTTTTGGGGAAGTATAGAAAAGTATAGATCTTTAGAACTTTAAAAGAAGACTTCTAAAAAAGTATAGAAAATAGATTAAGTAAGGTGTGATTTGAACCACTCAGGTTAAACCAAGCTGAAATTTGCAACCACTCTTTTTGAATTTTTTTTTTTGCTGTAGCCATCTTTTGCCATGTCATTCCTTATGCTGAACAAATGTATCTTTGTGCTTAAAAAGATGACTAAATAATGATGGAGAAGAAAGAATAGGAGCTGAAGATGGTTTGCATATTTTTTTCAGCTCTCTAAAGTGCATTTTAATATGGAACTGAGGTACTAGTACTAATTTCTGAAAGGCAGGAAGGAAAGGTGCTGATCTTAACAAAATAGGAAGACCAACACTATCTCAATTTTTCCCCTTGAAGTATTTTTTGACGTCCTAGTTATATAACTAAATGGGAGTAGTTGAAATATATTCAAATGAAGTTTCAGATTTGATGTGCCAAAATGTCTACCATAGTGTAATTGCCTAATCTTAGTTTTTTTTATATACTTTTCTGTCTAACAGAGAAAAAGTATTTGTCTGGTATGAAACCAAATAGCATGCAAATGAATTGTCAACATTTGCAACAAAAATAGAATGATTCCTTGAAATATAGCTGTTCTACCAAATAATGATAAACACTATTGTCACAAGTTAAGCTCCATTCTAATCTTGCACAGAACACAATTACATTTCTTTAATTGTTCCCAATCCTTAATGTTAATTACTCTTACATATCTAAATCCACCTTGACTGATAGACTGCAATACTTCTTGAAGATGTTTGTGATTCTTTATTAACAATTAACATAACACATCATTTATCAAAGTTAACAATTAAACCTGCTAATGCACATAATATATGTAATTCAAATTGCAATTACAGTTTTCAAATTAAGAATTAAATTGCAGTATGTCTTAAAATCAGAGTAACAGAATAACAAATTTGGAAGGGTCCTTGGTCGTCTAGCTCCTAGTTCAAGCAGGAGATCCTATACTATTTCAGAAAAATGGTTGTCAAATCTCTTTTTAAAAACCTCTAGTAATGGAGCACTCACAGTTTCTGGAGGCAAGTAGTTCCACTGTTAAATTGTTCTAACTGTCAGGAAATATCTCCTTATTTCTAGGTTGGTTCTCTCATTCATTAGTTTCCATCCATTGCTTTGTGTTCTGCCTTCAGGTGCTTTGGAGAATAGCTTGATCCCCTTTATGAATCCAAATGACAACTGATTATTTGTCACAGCCAGCCATTAAAATGAAGGGTCCTTCTTGGAGATTCTGTGTAAACTAGAATCTATGCATTTTCCAATTTCAAGGAATAACAGCCACTTTATTTACCTGATGTTTTGTTTTTATGTCAAAACTTTAAATATTATTCATGTTCCTAATGTTCTGCACTAATGTTTTATAATCAGACTGAACAAAATCATGTTTCTTCTTTTTTTTAGTACTCTTTGTAATGTAAAATATATTTGGTAACTATGTTTAATACATATAATATCTTAGCTATTTCAAATATTTTAATATACAATTAAATACAATACAATATTGTATTATAAGTGTAATAACAGCAATTATTTTCTGTAAGTGAGAGTGTTTATTTTCTTATGGCAGAAGGAGGTGGGAATGCATACTGCTTGCTTAAGGCCTTTTTAAAAATTTAGCAGGGTGTATAATACAAAAATTTGGCCTTAGTAGCAGCTACTGTTAGCATGTGTGAATTACCACCTCAAATGTTCTCCTCACTGTTCTAATATATTGACACTATCTTAGTAGAAATTGCACGACTTCTATGTCGGCACTCAGATATTTTTCAAAAAAAGGGATGACACTGAACGATAAAATAAAAGCGTAATTCAATTCAACAATAGCCAATGGTGTGTAATGAGAGTGCTATAAAACAGCACTTAAGCTGACATGTGAAATTCTACTTTAATCACATTGAGCAGAACCACATTTTTATAAAAAAATAAAAATTCAGAAGCCAATTTTTTAAAAATCAAGGAAAGGCATTTCTGGCAGGAGTACCATGTGTATTTTGGTCTCATTGAGTCTTAAATTTCACCATACCATAGAGAACATTTGCACAAAAGCGATGTCTCCAAGTTCCTCAAGTTTGTTGAACTTGAATATGATTAAATATTTAAATTTATTATTTTTATTTTTATTAAATATTTAAAATGCTTTATTATTAAATACTTTATTAAATATTAGAAGTGAAATGAAGTTTTAATCTCCAATATCAAATAGTAATAGTTTGGTCAGGAAATTACATCTGATATTCTTTCAAGTTGAAAAGTGCATAGATTCTAGTTTGTATATCATCTCCAACCAGATACCTTCATTTTAATGAAATGGCTGTGACAAATAATGACATGTTATTTAGTTTTTAAGATATACTATAATTTAATTCTATTTAATATAAGGTGTACTCTTTGTTGTTCACTTGTAAGATCGCTACTGTTACATATTTATGAATTATTTTGACACCATATAGAAAAAACTGCCTTTTTTAAAGAAATCAAGCATTTATAGTAGTACAGTATTTCAAAGAAAAAGAAATAACTAGAATGCATCCTTGTTAAATTAAATATAATTATTGGGACGGAAGGTGGAAAATTAATAGAACTCAAACCTCAAATCAAATTAATTGCACAAAAATCCATGTGCAAACTAGCTGACTCCTGGAGGCCATTTTGATTTCTCCTCACAAAACCACACAGCATGGCATGGAGGGGAAAATGAAAAGGCAGCCATCAAAAGCATCTGCAGGATTCAAGCCTTTTATGACTGGTTGAAAGCAGCATTACAGTGTAAATTCTGCCTCTTCGGTCTGTGTAGACAGTCATAACCAAAGTACAAGGCGTAAAGTTTATGCAACAATGCTGCTTTTATTACTGCCCACCCTGACTCCTGGACACCTCTGGCAGTCAGCAATAAAATTAATTTCAACGCTTCATTTTGTGCATTATTGTTTCAAGCAGAAAAAATCCTTTTATTTTTAAAAAGACATATTTTTTTTTAGTTATTATGCAACCCTCAGCTAGCCAAAATGTTTAGAAACAATTCAGAGAGAATGAATGAATGAATGAATGAATGGGAAGGAAGGAAGGAAGGAAGGAAGGAGTATGCCACAATAGATCCTCTGAGATCAGTTGGCTATTTTGCAGTGAATCTATTTTAAGTTTTCAAAAGATGTTACTGGTAATTTCCTACTTAACATCTATTTCAAAGGTTGGGTTTAGAATGCTTAAACATTCAAGTGCAAAAGGGCAACATACTGAAATTTCTAAGTGTATAATCTGCATTTGAGAAAGCCAAAGAAAAGGTTAAAGGTAAGCACGGTTTTCAGAGAACCTGACAAGGCAGACATAAACACGAACAGGAATCTTTACTTTCTTGTCCATTAGTTAAAGAAACTTTGTCAAAAGAATGACAGGAACAATCAGTGTGAAATGAAAAATGGATTTGCAAAGGAAGCCTGCTGAGATTAATGTGGAAAAACTGGCCAAGAGATAATAATTCCACATTGTCTTATCAAGCAGCTTCAGAATCCTTGCTTTTACCAAAGTGGTGGCGTGTGGGGAGAAAAAAAAAAAAAAGGAGTTGTAGACAAAATAGTTTGGTGTTTGACTTCTTAAAAGGGGATTTGTGGTGATGTTTAATTAATGAAATTTTGGTCCATGCACAGAATTTGGAAAACGAACAAAAGTAAGTAAAATTTCAATTGTTCTTTTTTTTCCTTCCCCCTGCAAAAAAAAAAAAAACCACAGAGAAAAAATAATGTTGTAGTTAAGAAGCAGTATTTCACACTATTATAGTACCAAGGGTCTGAAGGGAACCACAAGGGCCATCTAGACCAACCCTCTGCAATGTGCAAGCGAACCTGTTAAACCATCCAGAAGACATGGGTGCCAAGCTTTTTTTTTTAAAGACTTTTAAAATTAAGAACCCCAAACCTCTATAAGGTTTGTGGGGGCAATAAGCTGACTTTGTATAAATATACAAAAGTATGAAGGCTATTGCTTAACACATTGTAAGCTGCCCTGAGTCTCCGGAGAAGGGCGGCATATAAATCAAATAAAAATAAAAAATAAAATAAAAATAAATATAAATAAGCTGTTTCACTGTTGTACACATCTTAACCATTCAGAAAGTTTCCCTTATATTTAAGCAATTTGTCACTGACACATTATTACTTCAATAGTTCAAATGGATAACAGTTCCTGACCATTTTCCCTATAGCACCAGTTAATGTGTCCGAATATTAAATATGATACCAGATTTGGTGATTCTTAATCCTGCATGTCGTTACGTTTCCCCATTCCATCAAGTGCTTAAACGGTTACACTTTTTGAAAGTTCTTCAAACCATAAATCTGCACAAGCAGGGATGTTGGCTAGAAAATTCCCTGGGGAAACAAAATATACCTAGAATACCTTCCCACTAAAAAAAAAAAAAAGTGAAGATGTTTTAGGTGGCATTGCTCATGCAAAATCCAATTTCCCCCTGCTTAAAGGAGCTGATACTCCCCACTCCCACCCCAGGATGCAGTAAAAACTGAGAGATGTACTATTTCTGCATTACACCATTGCAATTCATTTGTTTATGGGGCAGGGTAATGGAAAGTAGCTGTTCCTTACAAAAGGACAGTGGAGAAAGTCAGGCCACAGAATTAATGGAGCAGCAATGAAATTTTGACTGCTTTCTGAGCCGTAATTTGCTGCTCTGCATCAGTTAAAGGAACATCTGGTCTGCACAGTAATTAAATAGGTACAGATGGAGGATAGGCAAGGATGAAGAGGAAATATGACATTAATGGATTTTACACCTCTGAAACATAGGGCTGTGTTTACACACTCACCGCAAAGATCAGCTGAACAAGACATTTACTGGCTTCTGTTCTCCATTGGCTTAAGTTGATCTCTTCTATTTATCGGGTCATTGAGGCTCTTCAGTCAGGTGAAAGTTGTTAATATGTATTAAATTATTATTTGTTACAGTAGTTTATTACTTTCGGTGCATTAAATTCTCATTTCACAATACATGTAGCATTAACCCAAAATTTGGAGTAGGAGAGTTGCCGTCTCCACTGTGATGAAATAGATTTTGAATACCAAAACAGTAACATAGGTAACAGAAGATGATAGATATAATGATAGATAATAATGATAGATAATAATGATAGATAGATAGATAGATAGATAGATAGATAGATAGATAGATAGATAGATGATAGATAGATATGAGACATTGAGATATAGATAAGTAGAAATCAATGGTGGGATTCACCATTTGTAACCAGCTGCACATTTTGATCGAAAATTATCTTCTACTGAATCCAGAGTGAGTAAAACAGATGAGATGTGGCAATCCACTCTGCCGCGCTTATCAGCTGGGCTTAAAACAAAAGAAATATAGGTAGGTTATAGCGTAGGGGTGGGCAGGCAGGCCCATCTGATCATTGGACCAAACCCGTTCACTCTCAGCTGATCGTCGGAGCTACCGGTATGCCCGAACCGGTCAGAACCAGCTGAATCCCACCCCTGATAGAGATAGATGAGAGAGAGAGAGAGAGAGAGAGAGAGGGAGAGAGAGAGAGAGAGAGAGATGCAGATGTCAACATATAATACATTATAATCAAAGTAACACTTAAAATATATCCTTTTACCTCCTGGTTCCAGGAATCTGAGGGAAGTAAGATAACTGGATAGTTTGGAGGGTAGATGGTGTCAAAGCCTTACTTTGGGGCAGATTAAAACATTTTGCTTTGGTTGCATTTGTTTTTAATCTGGCTTTCATCCAAAATTGCAACTGCAAGGTGGGTGACTATATAAATTGATATAATAAATAATAGTTTGCCCCATCCTTAAGAGATTCCCTGGATCCATCTATATTTGATAATTATCACGAAGTCTCTAAGATCATCTCTCTTGGGAAGATTATTGAGCCCATTGTCTATGTACAGTGATCTCCAGGAAGCAGATTATCTGGATCATTTTCAATCAGGATTTAGATTAGTAATCTGAATTGGAGAGCACGGAGAGTAAAGGAAATTGCCTTGGATGAAACATGCACGAATCATTAGCTAGGCAAACAGGAGTCAAACATTCTTTAAGTCCTGGGAACAAAATAATAATTGGAAGAGTCTCAGGCAACGGCCTCTTGAATTCACTGGCGTATAAGAAGGGCGGGAAATACAGCACGATCAGCCTTGCCTGATTCTGGTATTTCTGCCAATCTCAATAAAATGTAGTTCTGGTCTTCCAGTGGAGTTGATTTTCTGGGCAGGCTCTGTATGGGGCTGACACATCAGTTCTTATGGATGAGATGTGTGTGTGTGTGTGTGTGTGGTACTGGGATGTGTTTGCGTGGATGTGGATGTATACTATACAATAAAAAGTGAAAAGAATTTTAAAACATAGGAAAAAAGAAAACAGAATTTTGACTTTGACTATCTTTTCTATTGAGTAATTGTTACTTCAGTTCACTCAACACTGAAAAATCTTGGATGAGAAGCGAAATGTTTTCAAGGAGAAAAAAAAATCAAAAAAAGTTCAGATGCCTTTTGGAAAAGCACCTTTGGGACAACCATGATCTGGATCAGTGGTGGGTTGCCCCGGGTTCGGACTGGTTCGCAAGAACCAGTAGTAAAACCGGCAGGAGGCCCCACCCACCGCCCCGCATGTCATCATCAGTGATCTGCGCAGAAGCAAGGCACATGCGCGAGCAAAGGGAGCGCACACACGCAATCCCGTTGCAAACTGGTAGTAAAGGTAAGTAGAACCCACCCCTGATCTGGATGATTGAGAATCTCTATAGACACCTTTCCTCTCTTCATTATAAAAAGCCTCTGTAGTAGGATACATATCATCTTCTGAGATGCAAGGAAACTACCTATCCTAAAAGCAATTCATGTGCAAAAAATCTCATGTGTATTCATGCAGGGTTTGTTTTGTTTTTTTTAGATTAGGGTCCCTTGATTCTTTATAAGCATTAATTTAAACACTGAGTCTTAGTTGGAGGTGTCTATATGAACACAGATAAGTTTCCAAAGATTGGTGAAAAATACAAGATGGCAATTCATTAAAACTATTGCTGATATTGTTGACTGTGATGGCTTCTTTTAAAAAAATTATTATTACCAAAGAACAGTTTATGTCAGTAACATTGAAGGATACCTATATGTGAATGGAATTATGAGTTTCATTACATTTCCTAAGTCACCATCTCACAGTGGGAAGTTCATATTAAGTGCAATTTACACAAAATTCTACCAGCCAGTAATACAGTAGCAATGCCTCAAAAATATTATATAATTATACATGCATGCTCAGTGAAATGAGGATCTTTAAATCTTTTGTTGTGGTTGCTATAGAATATGAGAGAGTGGGATGACTGGAGTTGAGCAAGGACAAATACAGCAGATACCAAACCAAATTGAATGCCACTGAGACTTATATGCCACTTCACAGTGCTTTACAGCCCTCTCTAAGCAGTTTACAGAGTCAGTATATTGCCCCCAACAGTCTGGGTCCTCAACTTACCAACCTCGGAAGGATGGAAGTTAACCTTGAGCCGGTCAGGATTGAACTGCTGGCAATCGGCAGAATTAGCCTGCAATACTGCATTCTAACCATTGCGCTCCCACGACTCTATACGTGATGGGTAACCTTTTGGCCATCGCGTGCCAAAAGGTGGGGGGTCGTGCGCACGTGTGCCCACACCCATAATTCAATGCGCCCCACCCCCGAGCTCTCCCCGCTTTTGGCACACGAATGGCACGGTGGATTCAGTAGGCCTATATTTTGCCCTCCCCAGGCTCCAGAGGCTTTCTTGGAACCTGGGGAGGGCGAAAACAGCCTTCCCCAGCCCCCCGGAGGCCCTCCAGAGGCTGGAAATGGCCTGTTTCCCGACTTCTGGTGGGCCAGGAAGGCCAGAAAATTAGCTGGCCGGCACGTGCATGTGCACTGGAGCTGAGCTAGGGCAATGCTCATGTGCCCACAGATATGGCTCCGCATGCCACCTGTGGCACGTGTGCCATAGGTTTGCTATCACAGCTATATACATTCAGTCACAACTTCATTGCATTGACTAAACAATATCCAACACAATATTTGGTGTTATAAAAATCAACAGCAAGAAAAGATTGCTGTATCATTACAACAAGGAATAGGATCCCCAAAATAAGGGAAAGTTTAAAAAATACTATATTTAAGGCTACAGAATTTAAGTCCTATCATGTTCAGTGGGTAGAATCATATAAGGTAGCACTGGGCTTCAGAAGATTAATATTTGTAGAACTGAGAAATAAGTAGTCCTCCCATTATTGCTGAATTACAAAGTTGTGTTCACATGATGCATTTTGCTATGCTCAACTAATCATGGAACATGTGCAAAGAAGGGCAATGAATATGATGGGAGGACTGTAAGCTAAGTACTATGAGGACAGAGTGAAAGATTTGAGTTTATTTTGCTTGGAAAAATATAACTTTATTTTATTTATTTTTTTGCAGATTTTGGAATAGTTGACATTACTCTTGGAGAAAGCCTATCTACTCCAAAAAAGAAGCTAAGATACTCAACTATTGCCATTCATGACCCAACAATATGTACCTGTTACTGTCTTTTTTTTATTTTTTTATTTTTTTATTTTTTTTTATTGCAAAAGTTTTACAATTACATTTTCACCCCTTTTTTTTTCACCCCCCCACCTCCCTCCCCAAACTTCCCGTCCTCCCTAGCCCTCCCTAACCCTCCCCCCCCAGACTTCCCTATTATATACTCATAACTAATAATACTGATATATATACCTGAACCCATCCCTCCCCCTATATAATTTTCCCTCTTTATCTCTTTACATTAAAATATTTCTAATACATTGTTTTCAAATAAAAGCTATTTGGTACTTTCTAGTTTGGTATTTGTTCTGAACATATTCTATCCACCTTTTCCATTCCCATTCATAAGTCTCTTGTGAACAATCTTTTAAATATGCTGAAATCTTCGCCATCTCTGCAAAACTGGCCATCTTCAAAGTCCATTCCTCGATAGTAGGCAAAGCTTCATTCTTCCAATATTTACCTATCAACAATCTTGCTGCTGTTATCATATACAATATTAATTTTATTTCACCCCGTGTAAAACCCTTAACTATACCCAATAAAAACAATTGTGGAGAAAATTGAATTTTTTTTCTTCAAAACATTCTGCATGACCCACCATATTTTTATCCAAAAAGCCTTAACTTTCCTACAGGTCCACCAAACATGATAATACGTAGCATCCAAACATTCACATCTCCAACATTTTGGCTGAACATTAGGGTACATACATGACAACTTTTTAGGATCTAGATGCCATCTATAAAACATTTTATAAAAATTTTCCCTCAAATTCTGCGACTGTGTAAATTTAACATTCTGAACCCAAATTTTTTCCCATGTTTCCAACATCACTGGTTCTTCAAAATTTTGTGCCCACTTAATCATACAATCTTTAACTAATTCCGTTTCTGAATCCCTTTCTAGCAAAACATTGTAAAGCCTTTTAATATGCATTGGACCTTTCTCTCTTATATGTCTAACCAATTCTTCCTCATGCAACATAATACCAGTTTTTTGGTCCTCTTTCCATCTCAATTGTAATTGATTATATTGTAACCAGGTTAAATTAATCCCTTCGTCCAACAGTGTCTGCAATGTCTTCAACTGCCATCTGCCCGCATCTGTAAAAAGAACCTCTTTGTATAAAAACCCCCCGAGTGACATTATATTTGTATTCCACAAGGTATGACCAAGATCCAGCCATAGCGGTATTTTATAATCCCATTTGAGTCGGTGCTTCTTCCAAACTCTCATCAAAGAGTCTCTAAGTATATGACTTTTAAATACTTTATCAACTTTGTCATCATAAAATAGGTAAGCATGCCATCCAAATTCAAGATCAAAACTTTCTGCATTCAATATTCCAGCCTTTTTACTTCCAAACCAATCACTTGTTAAAGTTAAAGCTGCTGCATCATAATATAACTGTAGGTTTGGAAGTTTAAGGCCTCCTCTTTCTGGAACATCTTGCATAATTTTCAATTTCACTCTCGGCTTTTTCTCGTTCCAGACAAACTTATTAAGTCCAGTTTGCCAAACTTTCAGTTGTTTATCACTTTTAAGCACCGGAATCATTTGAAACAGAAACAGAAATCTTGGCAAAATGTTCATCTTAACTGCTGCTATTCTTCCAAGTAAAGACAGTTGCAGCTTTTTCCAAGTCTCCATGTCTTTCTGAACCTCTCGCCACAACACCTCATAGTTATTTTGAAACAATTTCATGTTTGATTCTGCAACCTGAACTCCAAGATATTTTACCTTAGGTACAATTTCAAAACCTGCCCTCCTTTCAAGCTCATGTTTACGATCTTGTGTCATATTTTTGACTATCATTTTAGTCTTTTTTGAGTTCACTCTAAAACCTGAAACTCTACCATAGTCTTGTATAATGTCGTTCATCAAGATTATTGATTCCATTGGTTGTGATAGGGTAACCACCAGATCATCTGCAAATGCCTTTATTCTATAATCCTCTTGCCTTATCATTATGCCTTTCAAAATTTTTGAGTCCCGTATTATATTTAGCAAGACTTCCAATGTTAAAATAAATAAAAGTGGGGACAACGGACATCCCTGTCTTGTTCCTTTTTCAATTTTAAACTCTGTCGTCAAACTTCCATTAATAATAATCTGTGCTTTTTGCTCTTGATAAATTGCTGAGATCGCCTGTATAAATTGGTCCCCAAAGCCCATCTTTTTTAAGATGTTACTGTCTTTTGATCACATAGTTTGTAATTATTTTAAGCTGGATCATATACAAGCCCATTTAGAAGAAACCCCATTAAGCACAAAGAGGAACCATACAAAGCTGAATGTTACTTAACTTTACCGACATCTGATTTTGGGCTTTCTTTTTCCCATTTTCACAAGAAAACTCTCCAAAGTCTTAGCTTTTTCAAGATAGTTCCCTGCAATAGCAAATTCCACATGAGGAGCAAAAATATTGTAGCATTCATAATCAGAAATCTTTGGTTAACCTAACATTTGCTTTGATACTTTAATTTTATCTCCAGCCAGTTCTGAATCATTAATGTAAGCCAAAGTGCCATTTCCATCAAAGCTCGCTCCCTCTCTCTCTCTCTCCCTCTCCCTCCCTCCCTCCCTTCCTCCCTCTTTTCTTTTTCTCTCCTTCCTTCCTTCGCTTTCATTCCATTTTTAACTGGTCTGCCTTTTCTGATTATTTTAATACAAACATTGGTTTAAGTACACCAGTTCAAAGTTCAATTTAATTCAGTGAGTAAGCATTTTTTTTTTCTATTGATATATAATTTTGCTGGCTTCCCAACAAGAAAATCCAATTATCCTCATCAATTCTTTAAGTCACATTAAGAAAAGTGAAATTAAACAATAGACATATAGTCCAGATATTAGCTTTTATACATCTCTCCTCTCTATGACATTTATATATAATTATTCATAGCATTTAACTGGTATAGTCAACCCATATCTGAAATTAGACTGCAGACACTATAAAAATATATGAAACAGGATTCAAATGCACAGTATTCTTTTCCTTTTGATTTTACGCACAAGTTAAAACAAACTAGCAAGGGGGGGAGCGATCACTGCTTGTTCATTAATACAACATACACATACTCTTTTTGTAAGTGCCCTTTCCTTGGTCTAAGGTTTTAAAACATTTCTTCTGTCAAATAAAGTGTAGTCTTTCAGAATTTGCATCTGACAAGCCTTTCTTTAATGAACTGTGTATAATGCCAAATTGTTTTCTGCTGCATATGAGAGAGCTGGGTGTGGAGTGAGAGAGATAACCACTTATTCAGCAAGTCCCTTGCAATTCCATGCAGGTGGTTTTCCTGTTCCAGAGGTGGTATTCAGCAGGTTCTGACCAGTTCTGGAGAACTGGTAGCAGAAATTTTGAGTAGTTCGGAGAACCGGTAAACACCACCTCTGACTGGCCCCGCCCCCATCTATTCTCTGCCTCCCGAGTCCCAGCTGATTGGGAGGAAATGGGAATTTTGCAGTAACCTTCCCCTGGAATGGGGAAAGAATGGAGATTTTACAGTATCCTTCCCTTGCCACGCTCACCAAGCCCCGCCCACCAAGCCACATCCATAGAACCAGTAGTAAAAAAATTTGAATCCCACCACTGTCCTGTCCCTGCTAAACTTGGCAAGAGGAGGAAAGAGAGAGGGAGGAGGAGGGGAAGAAGGAGGAGGGGAGGAGGAGGAGGAGGAGGAGGAGGAGGAGGAGGAGAGAAGAGGAGGAGGGGGAGGGGGAGGAGGAGGAGAAGGAGAAGAAGAAGAAGAAGAAGAAGAAGAAGAAGAAGAAGAAGAAGAAGAGAAGAAGAAGAAGAAGAAGAGAAGAAGAAGAAGAAGAAGAAGAAGAAGAAGAAGAAGAAGAAGAAGACCACCTCAGATACAAAGCAGGAAGGCAGTGGAGAATTTAATGAACTGAAACAATGACAGAGCAAGACCATGTAAATCAGTAAATATCCTTTCGCTTTTACTTCCTGTTATCAGCACAGTACTATTTCTGTCTGCTATGTTTTAAATGGACTAAAGAATTCGTTAAAAAATCTGTTTTTTTTACTTTCCCCAACATATGGAGGTTCTGAGTCAGGGTGGAATTGGAGAGGAAATTCACAAGATGGAGTGTGATAGGCAAGAGATAGCAAGGTGGGGGAGAGGCCAGGTGCGCAAAGTGGGTGGCAGGAAGAGGACACATGTTCAATGGGACAATGCATCAGTGATCAACCCTGTTGCATGGTATGTGGGGGAGGGGAAACACAGAAAAGGCCAAGCATACATGTGACAAGGGGGAGAAGCACTAAGCACGTTAGAATAAGGAATAAGTAAGCAGTTAAGCCAATAAAAAATCAGTCTAGAATGTCTTGCTTGACCTTTGCAAGTCAAAAGTTCATTAGAATACTGAAATCACATCTCCTGAATATTTAGGTGAGCATTACATGGAAGCCAGTAGGTAGGAACAATAAACTCTCGTTGGTTTGCTCAAGTAAAAGCGTATAAATGTTAGTGGTTGAGAGAGGAAAGTGGTCTTTTTGGCTGAGAGGTCAGCAAGAAGGCCCACTTTATTTTTGCACATAAATAAATATATTTTTTTTAATTTTGCCTTTCTGGTTTGGAGTCTATTTGGGTGAAGATTCATGAGGCCCAATGAATCATCAGGTTTTCCAGCTAACATTCCCATTTCTCACCCTACAAAACAAGGGCTCACTACAGCTCATTTTTGATTTTTGGTTACTACCCATACAGGCAACACTAGAGCCTGATCAGCATATTTTTCTGGTCAGTGGTGGGATCCTTCTGGTTTAACAACCGGTTTGGTGATTGTGCACTTCGTGCGCAATTCAATGAAAAAAAATCACCTTTGGCGTTAGTGCTAGGGAATTAAAACAGCTGAGGCACGGCAATCCGCTCTGCTGCGCTAATCAACTGCAAAGATAAAGGTAAGTAAAGCGCAGGGGCAGGCAGGCAGGCGGGCGAACTGGTTCGCTCCCAGCTGATTGTCGGAGCTA